TGCCTGTTCCTTCATGCACAGTTCTTGCTCTGACAGACCAGCTGTCCCAGCTACAGGAGGGGGTTAATCTCTGGCCACATACTAACACTACAGAGTGTCATTAATGAATTAACCAGGAGCCTGTTGCTTTTCAGAAAAATCCATGCTTTGCCCAACAGAAGGTGATGAAGGAGGTAGAATAAATACAGATCTATCATAAAAGATTCTTCAAACTATGAACTATGTTGGGGATCCTCCACCCCAAAAGTGCCTAACACAAAAAAATATTACATGTTTATCATTCTGGTGACTAGGATAGGACACTGGAATAAATTTGTGTAAGGCAGGAATGTGGAAAGAGATTCCAAAGTTTCTCTAAAATGCAAAGTTATGGGTTATACTTTAACTGTTGCATTTTCTGTATTCTTTACACACGGAAGTAGACCTTTGTTCAGTACAATGGCAACCTGTAATTGACTGATGAATCCACACTAAAGTTTACATTTATTAATTTTTAGGTTCAAATTTTAATCAGTAATGCAGAAAGCTCTCTCTTTTTAGGTTATTTTGGCTTTGGTAATAGCAAATTATTGTTAAACCTACCTCCTAAGTCAGGCAATGCCCAGTTGAATGGTTTCCAAAATGGTGCAGATCAGAGCAGTGGAAAATGATAATTACAGCGCTCTCCTGGTTGCAGGGTGCATTGAGACAAGAAGCTGCAGCAGGACTCTGAGGGGGGTCTCTTGATACCTGTCTCAAAGCATCCACAACTAGGAGAGCACTGCAGTCATTGTCCAGCACTAGTCTGCAGCACCTTGGAAACCTTTGGTTTAAGTGCTATTTGGCTTAAGAGGTAGCTTTTCGGGGGTTAGTGTTGGCATAAGTAGCTATGGAGACAAAAGTCCATCATCATAGCTATATCTGTCAATGTACAATCTCAGTGATCTTTTTCTTCCAAAATTAAATGGCTTTTTTAAAAAATGTCAATTTGTGGATTAACTAATAATAATAATAATAATAATAATAATAATAATAATAATAATAATAATAATTTATACCCTGCCTTTTGACATGTACTTTAGTGTGTCAATAGTTGCAATGTTTTCCACTCAGCAAATGGGTACTTTCAGTTCCTACCAACTGCAGTCCCCAACTCTATCCCTGCAGTGCTGATCATGAGCATCAACAGACTCTCCAGAATTATGAGGGATATAAAGTGAGAAGCCAAAGATGAAGGGGAAAACTAACTAAAATATTACCCTAAATCAGACTCCACAAATCTAGTACCTAACAGTCAAGCCATGTTTTGGACATCATGTTAGGGATTTGGGTTTCCTTATACTCTGCTTCCATCCCATAATATATTTTTGTGATGCTTTTTATGGTTTATTCTTATTGTTCGTTCTTCTTATGGTTTATTTGTACCAGGAACTGAAAGAAGAAGTCAGTGTGTACAATGGAAGAAGGGAGTGAAAAGCCCAAGCCCCATCACTGTGGTCAAAATCATTATATCTGAACTGGATTTGTTTCACCATAATGTAAAAATCTGTTTATAAGAGGATGACAAAGCTCCACTTTGAAATAGAACTACAATGCTGTTAATAGGAAGGACCCCTTCGTATTTGTTGACCCACAAAAAGTATCTGTTACTAAGATTGTATTTGAAGCTCTCTTCAAATTACTGATTGTTACTAGATTTTTCATCATAGCAAACTGTGATCTTTGTGCTTTCCAATATGTAAGTATAATTGGTGGGAAACGGGCAGTTGTTCCATTTCCAAAGAAAGATTGCCCTGGTGTTGTAACCAGATTTGTAGAGATGACTGTTCTCCTTTAAGAATTGCTGTGGTGGGAGAGAAGGTGACCTAAGACAGGAATCAGTATTTCCATTGTGCCATCCTGAAAAAAATGTTCTTGGCAGATAGAAATAATAATAGTGGCAAAGCTAAGTGCATAATATCTCTCAAGGTTTAACACACACACACACACACAAAATTTAAACGTACAGTTTTTGTTTTTTGTATCACACTGTATATTTGTGTTGGCCTAGGGTCTTGATATGTATTCAGTGCTACAGCCAGATAATTTGTTAACAAGGTCTTTTTAACACTTTGGACAGATGCACATACTGTTTTCAATCTTCATGGTTAATTATTTGATTTTGTATTAGATGCTGGAACACCCTGACTCCTAATCACTGCTCATTGTTGGAAGTCCATTATATTCTAACTGTTTGAGTGCTCCCGTTGACCTTGAACTGACATTATAAGCTGTGTCTAATCTTTTCACTCTATATTTCTAATGCTTCTTTTCTTCCTTTTCCCCCTTCCCTCTTTGTCTGATCTCTGATTAGCATCACAATGGGGCTGCCTCTGAGTCCAGCAGCTGACTCCGCCCGCTCTGCACGACACGCTCTCTCGCTCATTGCCACGGCCAGACCACCCGCCTTCATAACAACTATTGCCAAGGAGGTGAGCAAAAGAACTTTTCAATAGCTCATGGTGTTCCACTTCAGCAAGGGCACTTCCCTCATAGTCCTGTAACATTTTGAAACTGGCTTACCTAATTCATATATTAATAGTTAATATTTTACATTTTTTTCTTGCATATGAACTTGTTTAAAAGAAATACAGTGGGCCCTTCTTACTCACTAGGGGTTGGGTTCCAGGACCCCCCATGGAAACCAAAACCCATGGATGCTCAAATACAATGCCATAGTAAAATAGTGTCCCTTATATAAAACAGGAAAATCAAGATTTGCTATTTGGAATTTATACTTAAAAAAAAAATATTTTCCAGACGTGAATGCTTGAATCTGTGGATAAAGAATCCGTGGATAAGCAGAGTCAACTGTATGACATTTTTGCATGCTACATGTGTACACACACGTGTGTATACACACACTATGAGTATAATGCACTTTAGTGAGGCTCTGGATCTATAGTGTAATCTGCAGAGTAACTTTATGTATAAACTTTAGGCTTTTGCCAGTGATTGATTGATAGGTAGGTAGATACCTGCCAAATAGCCATATAACATTTATTCTATCGTGCTGTATTGTAACTAAAAACCAAAACCCAGGGTAGAATTACACAAATAGTTTTTTAACTGGTTTCTCTCTACCTGCATGGCAGGGGATTGGGCTACATATCCCTTGTACTTTCTTGTAAGGCTGCCTCTGCACTGCAGAAATAATGCAATTTGACACCACGTTAACTGCTGTGGCTCAGTGCTACGGAACACTGGAATTTGTAATTTTGTGAGCTATTTAGCCTTCTCTGTCAGATAGCTCTGGTGCCACAACGAACTACAAATCCCAGGATTCCATAGCATCAAGTTATAGCATTTAAAGCAGTGGTCCCCAGACTTTTTCAGACTACCACCCCTTTCCTCTTGGGTGGTAACAAGGGAAGGATGGGGGTCCATTTGCTCTGTTCCAGGGTGAGGCAAAGCTGGAGGAGCCATGCTAGGTCTCTTGCCTCTCAGCCTGGAGAAACACGGCTTGTTTCCTGCAGCTCTCCATTTGGCCTCCCTCTGTCCTGTCCCAGAATGGTGTACAAAAGAAATTTCTTGCAATTAGGATTGCCATAAATCCTTCCACAAATCTCAGATGCAAGTCTACAAAAGCTTATGCTACAACTTTCTTCACACAGTCTCAAAGGTTCTACAAGATCCCTTAGCATTCCAGACTTATGGTTGAAACTGCACTGCAGAATTAATGCAATTTGACACTGCTTTAACTGCCATGTCTCAATGCTATGGAATTCTGGGTTTATTTAGTTTGTTGTCACACCAAAGATCCCTGAGAGAGGCTACATAGCTCACAGAACTACAAACCCCACATTTCCTAAGAATTGAGCCACCGTTGAACCACATTATTTCTGTAATGCAAACTAAACTATCCCCCTTTGCAGACGGCGCTTTGCGCCGTTTTGGAGGCAAGGAAGGGGAGGGGCAGCCTCACGCTGGGCGCCCCAACCTCTTCCCAAGAACATCATCGGAGCACCCACTGTTGCACATGATGGGTGCTCCAAGGACATCCTTCCAGCTCAGCATCTGGACACGCTGAGCTAGAAGATGCGCAAAAGAGCCGCATGGTGACTCTTTGGGCACCCCTTTCGCAGCTTGTGGAAGGAGCGCTATTTTAGCACTCCTTTCCCAGGCAGCGAAAGGGAGGATCGAGGCCAAGGTGTGGGGCAGCCTCGGCCCCAATCCGCCACTTCCCAGGGCAGCCCATGGCCACCCATCTGCATCCCCCCTAAGTGTCTGAATTCTAGCCACTTAGAAGAGAACTTAGCAAAGGTGGGTTTCCCCCCATTTCCATGGGGAGGAGGGAGGGAGGGAGAAAAGCTCCCAAATAGCTGTGAGACTAAGAGGGACTCTTGCTCTAGGAATCATATCCAGGGGATGCCATGCTGGCCAGCCCATACAGCAAAGCACAATAATATTCAAAATACACAAAACAGTTATACCTTTATTGGCCAACCAAAATGCACAAAATAGATGAAATAAGCTTTTGAAGCACAACTGTGGCTTCTTCGTTGGGCAAAGGTATTAAAAATCAAACAGGAGAAAGGTACCACTGTTTTGTGTTTTTTGGATGTTATTGTTTGATGTATAGCCAACCCAGCTACTCCTGGATATGCGTTCTAGATTTCAGGATATTGCATTTTATACACAACAGGAGAATCTTAAACAAAAAAGAACAAAGGCCTGAGACTTAACTTTTTGAGGCCTTTTACCTTCAAAAAAAGTCAAACGTTTGTTTTTGTTTTTTTTAAATGGGACTGCATTTGATGAGTTTTAAGCAGCATGTAAACATTTTTTCACATGCAGCAACACAGAAACCTCTTGAGAAATTCAATATTATCTGCCAAAGGAGGGGGGAAAAGAAGGTTTCTCATTGTGTTTTTAATTGACTTATTTGCAAATTTTATTTCCTGGTTTATTAATCTTACAGTGATCCTTTTTGCAATGGATTTATAAAATAGAATCCTTTAGTATTCAGTCTAAAAACTCAAGCCAGTGTGGCGTAATGATTAGAATGTTGGACTACGACTCTGGAGACCAAGGGTCGATTCCCAGCTTTGGCTTGAAAACTCCTGGATTACCTTGGGCAGGTGTCCTGAACTCAGGGGAAGGTAATGGCAAACCTCTGAACAAATCTTACCAAGAAAATCCCATGAAAGGGTCACCACAAGTTGGAAACAACTTGAAGGCACACAAGAACATAAAACCTGATGAAAAATAATTTCAACTATTTTTTAAAAAATCATCGAAGTTCTTTCAACATAGGGTTGTGTTTGAGAAGCTAATGGTGAATGAATGCATGATTGAATGGGGAAATAAACATAATATACTGGAAAGGGTTAAATATATTAATTTGTCAAGATTCATGGTAATGCATATAAGCTTTAATGATGAGCAGATGTTCCTATTCTGTTTCATTAGTGTTCTATGGATTGATTTTTCCATGTTTCAATCTACTTGCCTTCTGGTTAAACTTAAGATAATATCTAAAACAAATTTTGAAACTGGTGAAAACTCAGTTTGCCAGTTTTTAGGTTGCATTCCTTTCTCCAGTCTACCAATGATCCCTAGTGCATATATGGATTGATTAAGTCGCAGTGTGAAAAAGGAATCTTGATATGATTTAACAACATTAAAAAAGTGCATTTCTGCAGGAAAAGAGATTACTGGATCCATTGAAAACTGTCATAAACTCTGTGTTCACTGAGTATAGGCAGCAAAAATTGGGGGGGGGGGTTTAAAAAAACTAATATCAGCACCACTCAGCAAAGAAGAAATATAATTTGAAGAATTAATAATTACTTTACAGGAACACCTCAGTTAACAAAGCTTCTGACAAAGAAGCTCCTTTTTACAAAGCCTTTTTTATCCCTTCCCATCTCCCCTTTTCCTCTTTGGCCTCTAACTAGAAGGTTTTTTAGCAGCATCAGTATTGGGAAGATGATGAAAGTGGTGCTGGAGAAATACAGACTTTTAGTGTTGCTTTGAAGCAGATAGTGTGCAGTAAGCAATTCAGTAAACTGAGTTAGGAAAGAATGTGGTTCTACTCCAGCCAATCCAGTGAATTGTACAAGCAAGTCAAACAGCAGCTGCCTGCAGAATTCATCACTCAGCATGTGTGAACACCAAAACGGCAATAAAAAGGAAAACGAATAAGCCTCCCTCACCAGATACCCAACATATTAAAAGAGCATAGATCTATATTTAGCAAATATAATGAAAATCATAAGAGAAGTGCAGGCTTATTAAATAAAAAGTCATTCCTGGATTCATTTTGGAAGAAACTTTCAAGTAGTCTCTTTAAGGTTCTTTTTTTCTTGACATTTGCAAAGCTTACCTGACCTGGCTGTTTCATTTCACATACACATAATGTTTTGAATAAAATGTTTGCTGAAGTATATTAACCAGCACTTCCTTTTTGTGATGTATGAACTATTATTTCTGTTACCTTTGCCGCTGGTACCAAATTTTCTGTTAAAGGTGTCTTGCCTAGGAACTCATCTGCTTTGTTAATTAGGCATACCAGTAATTGGAAGTAAAGCGTAGGGAGAAATTTGAATGGAAAAGAACTGTAAGTTTCCTTAATAAGTCCACTGTTTTTCTAGGTGCATAGACATACTGCTCTCCAGGCAAATACTCAGTCTCAACAGAATATTCACACATCGACCCTGGCTCGGGCAAAGGGGGAAATTCTGAGAGTTATTGAAATACTTATTGAAAAAATGCCCTCTGATGTTGTGGATCTCCTTGTAGAGGTAAAGTTTTTTATTATTATTATTATTTGGTAAACTTATTTGGTAGGCTGATAATTCTAAATTTCTACTTGGCTTTCAAAATGTTTGCATTTGCCCTGCATTTCAGGAGTTGGGACAAATGCTTTCACATTCGCAACTTGATGGTAACAGGAATTACAATCTTTGCCAAGCATTTCACACATGTTAAATGTTAAGTGTAATAATTTAGATGGTGAGATAAACTAATCAAAGGTTGTTTTACATACAGTTGTTGACTAGATTTTTGGTATATAAAAAGTGCCAGCTTCAATCCACACTATCTCTAGGCTTAGGAGAAACTCCCATGTGAAACCCTGAGGAACCACAAATATGCAACCGATGTTGAAGAAGAGAGACCAGTATTCTGATTCAGAAGAAGGCAGCTTAATTTAATCATAAAATATATTTATATATTAGTTGTGCATACTGAAGGTTCTGATAATCCAGAAAGTAGCTTTTCCAGGCTCTAATTCTGGCTGCAGAAAAAAAAAAGACAAAATTGAAAGAAATGAATGTGACAATGCTTACAGAAGAAAAAAATACTGAAGTGAACAAGCATGAGAAGTCAATGAGGTTGTTCCCTGTAGAAGGAATGGGGCTGGTTTGAAAATCGGGGAGATAACAAAAAGGTTAAGAAGGTAGAGAATTGAAGATGATAGAGAGAATAACATTTAATGAGATGGAAGCAAACGAATGTTGAGTAATGAAGAGAAGAGAGTGTGGCAAGAGAAGAATGTCTGGACAATATTACCTCATGAGGATATGGATGCATGGGGTGAGAAGACAGAGAAATTTAAAGACAATTCTTAATGTGAGAAGGTATATGGCTAACAATCAAACATTAAAATAGATACCAAAGCAGAGATCCTATAGACCCAATAAACTGGGATAACGTATCCATAGGTCAATGTAAATTTTTAACTTACCAAAAAAAAAAGAACCATCCACTTCTCTTATTAGAGTGATGAAAGGTGGGAGCTTAGTCCATCTTGGGACCACCTACAAGAAACACTGACCCTCTCTACTCTCTCCATTGTGGAGCCACTTCTGTCCTTTTTGAACATCTGGATGGGAAAGTGGCCGCAGTGGCAGCTCTTTGGTGCATCTCCTCAAAGGAACACGAGGACAAATCAGGCTTTAAAAGATTTGCATAATACAGATGTGTATGATTGTAAGCTTTTCTGGGTTAAAATCAGACAAAGTTATCACTTTAAAGCTAAAGTGATAATCACTGCTAATGTAGTTGCCATTTTCTTTGCTTTAACTTTCCATCATTTTTGACATGTGCATTTTCTTATCCCTGCCTGTGCCTGGTCATCTCTCCCACACATCAAACAGCCACCATTTACCACAGTTCACTCCTCCTCCTTCCAGCCTTTAGGGTGATCACAAACAGTAATACCTGCTGGAATTTCGTAAGTTCTTTGGCATTGTTTTCCTTTTCTTCATCCTTTACATACATTACTATATGCTGTTTTACCCTTGGTTTATCCACCAGTTATATCAAAATTCCTCTTTTTGGTTCCAAAACTTGCCCTTGATTTATACATAAGGCCAGCTTAACCAGTGTGCTGTAGTAGTCTGAGTGTGCTGTAGTAGTCTTCAGAGTAGACTCTGAAGACCAGGAAACATATCCGTGGTAGTCATGTTGGCCATAAAGCAAAGTACAATATCATCCAAAATCGACAAAAGAGAACAGGATTTGAATCCTGGCTCAGACATGTCAACCCACTGGATGACCTTGGGCAAGTCACACTCTCTCATTCTCAGATGATGTTAATGGCAAACCCCTCTGAAGAAACTTGCCAAGAAAACCCATGTTTGCCATACGGTTGCAATGAGTCAAAATTACTTGAAGGCACACGACAACATATTATACAGTATATTCTTTCTGCCTTCTCCCTCCCAATCAAGAACTGCGAGCTGCAAACATTATTGACAGAGTACATATTTTGTATGCAGGATGGAACCAGGAATTCCAACTACAGTCTGTGGCATCTCCAGTTTTAATGTTATGGTATCTAACAAACCCACTCTTTTCTGTACCCATTTTCCCTTAATTGTATAATTAAAAGTAGTAAAAAAAATGGAAAAGGGTCAGCCAAAAAGCAGAACAGGAGGATGGGGGAAGGAATTGATTGGTTTGAGAAAAACTTTTTACTTAATTATCCAAGTGCTAACCACTGTGTAAATAATTCATTAAGAATTTTAAAGAAGTTCATTGCCGCTCGCCCAAAATTACATATAATAGAAATCAGTACAGACTACAGCCATTAGGAGGGAGTTACTGAAGAGAATACACTTCCACCTCCCAGAAAGACTCCACATACTTTCCTTTCATACAGATCCATGGGGTGCACTTGCTTTTCAACCTAAAAGGCCTTTCTAAAAGTGCCCCAAAATATTATATAATGGTTGAATATTATTTGACAATATACAATAGAAACCAGTCCAGTTGAGGAGAAGTTACTGAGCAGAGTCACAATGCATTTCCTACCCTCCAGAAAGACATCAGACACTTTTTCTTCCATACAAGCCCATGGGGGTGCATTCTGAAAGGGCCCTGGCTGCTTGAGGGCTTTTCACTTCCTGCTGAGCAAATAAATCACTCCCTTTCCTTTCCAAGACTAACTTTCTTTTTCTTTTTCTTCTTCCTTTTTTAAAAACTTCTTTTCCAAACATATCTGTTCTATCTGGTCTGCAAAAAGTTTCCCCTCTCTCCTTCTTGCTCTCCTCTCAAAGAAATCACAGGCCATTGTTAAAGTCTGCCTAATAATAGAGCCACGTGACACATTTCCTCCAATATTTTTTTCTCCAGAGGCAGAAGGCATTCCTATTTTACAGGAAAAACTCAACCCATTGAACTGTAATGTCCTAATTCGCTAAAGTATAGCATTATTGTTGTTGTCATCACCACCATGGTAGTCACCACCACTATCATCATACATATCCTTAATTACTTGAAGAATCTGCGAAGCAACTGGAATCAGTGAATTAATAAGTTGATGAGTAAATTCCAAACTCTGGTTACGCTACCATTGGTGTGCTTGTACAGTTTGATGTTTAGGCAACAAACTGACTAGTGAACATATCAAATGCTTTCACTTTTACTTGCAGCGCTACCATTGGGAAGCATGTTTTACTGGGACGCAACCATGGTGCTTATGATTAGAACTATGCAGTCGTAATGCTTAAGAAATTATATGAGCACTTTTCAAAAGTACTGTTACATTAATATAATAATTAAAATACCAGTGCCAGAGCTTCCTTTTCCTGGTTTATTATTATTA